GCTGGGATTCGCTGTTAACCCACTCGGTCGTATTTGCACCCTAGATGGCATGGTGCTCCATTGCACTCAGCTCAGCATCTCCAAGGATGGGCAGGGGGTGTTCAACGTCAAGTTCCAACCAGCATCTGGAATTTGTAGACGCGAAAGCAACACCACAATATAGTTTTAAAAAGAGGTCCAGGAAGGTTACCAGGTTGCGGATTTGCTTGTCAACCGCCCTGCAGCAGACAACCGGCAGGCTTTAATACCTTCATCACACTTCTTTCAGGCTTACAGTGGGCTGTCGAGTCTGACGCCTGCGACGGACAGCCTTCTATAGAATAGTCCGGTCCGCCATATGAACGTCCATAAATGCATGTGTATATACATTTATATATATATATGTGCGCACCCTGTTAAATTTGGACCAAAGGATCAGGGAGAGAGCTTTTGATGTGAAGTTTATGGCATTGCCTAGGGGTGCAACATGAATTCTTGTGATGAGGGCTTGGAATATGCCCCATCATTTTGACGAGCTCGAATATCAAGAGCGGGCAGAGGATGAAGCAACGATTCAGCCATAGGATGCAATGGTAAATGGCTGCGTTCTTGTCTACTGTTCTCAAGGCTGTCTGCTTTGTGGAGATAACCCCAATATACTATATAGTAGTTTTCATCTTCCATTATCCCTGTATAATCCGATATATACCCTATTATAATATGGTAATGTTCATGCTCTTTTCCATTATCCCTATATAACCCCAATATATGCCCTATGATAATATAGCAGTTTCCATGCTATTTTCCAGTAATCCCTATGTAACCCCAATATCTACCTTATTATAGTGTGTGTAAGACAATGAGAAAAATACCTGTGGGGCATGGTGAAGAGACCCTGAATCTTCAACATCCAGACTATGCGTGTGAGGCAGCATTACGAAAGGGTATAGTCCCCCTTAAGTAGATAGAATATGGAAGCCAGGGACTGCACTGAACTCTCCTTGCAATCTTTTCAGGAAAATGACATGTACAAACGAAACATGAAAGTGTGAGGGTCTGGAAGGGCCCAGGCTGGAACTTCTAACTTTCCAAGGCTACAGTTGAAAGCTTTCAGTGACCTTCACCGTCAAACCCTAAACCTCAAACCCTAGGCCGAGCTTGTTCGAATGCCAGGTAGGACGACAAAGGATGCAAAAGGCTTGAAAAAACCTAGATCCTACTCTCTGAAGTTCGACTCTAGGCCTCAACCTTGGTATATGGGGCTCTTATTATACTATGCCCAAAGCCATATTCTATCTACATGAGGGGGGGCTCTAGATCTATCTAGGTTGCACCCATACATTGGTCAGGTTGGGCGTACCCTAATTAGTCTGAATGTTAAGGTGTCCTGTTGTGCCATGGGTCGGGTCGTGGGGCTAGATGTGGCATGTTACCATAAACCTTGTGAACTTCGTCAACATCTAAACCACTCTAGTTCTGGAACCCCGCCATAAACTCTGTCTTGAGGTTGAGCTCCACGCAGACCAAAGCAAACAGCAGAGCGGGACACACGACCTTCACAACGGCTCACACACTTCATTCGGGGGTCAGGGGGAAGTTGCATACTTGGGGACTTGTGGCCTGTGCAGCGTTCTGCGCTGATTGATTAGTACCGCCGGTATAGTTAACAGAAAAGTAGTGTAGTATCAATACTTATACTATACTAACACTATACTACCATAATTAATAGTAATAGCAGCACACGAATGATAATAATAACTTCGAGTTTTGGGCCTGAAGCCGCCAGTTCAACCACCAAAAGCCAGGCTTTGGGCCACTTCTCGCAGGAGATGGGACTGATTGTTTGGCATTGATAGTTTGGGGCATGCCCCACCACAGCACGCGGTGTAATGTAGGGATAATATAGGGTAATATTGGGCCATATAGGGATAATGGAAAATAAAATGGAAACTACTACATTATAGTAAGGCATATATTGGGTTTATATAGGGATAATGGAAAAGAAAATGGAAACTACTATCTCATAATAGGGGCCCTATGGCTTTCTAGACCCTGGATTCTGACGGCCCTCGGAGCTCTGAGAGGGCCGTCGCTTTGCTTTGGCTAGCAGAATTTCGCTCACTACATGAACATTGGGGAACTGACGCACAGTACCCGAACCCCTAACGCCTAAACCCTAGTGCAAGTCCAAAATAATTAGCAGTCCGGCAGCCCATCTACATATGGTAGTTTCTCAAAATAAGGGGTCCTTCTTATGGGTATCCCCCAAAAAGTACCCCTAATTTTGGGAAACTCCCATATGGCTTGTTACGGTAGGAGTCCAGAAGGTCGACAGCCGTGCTCCACAGGCCTCATCACTTACTGCTGGCGCGGAGCTGAATGTGGGGGTTCCAAGTTAAGGAGTACAGTGTTGGGTTCCCTGCAAAAAAACAGCATTTTGGGGTCTGTCTTGGGGTTCCCCCTACTTAAGGAAACTACTATGTCCTTGCGGAGTCCTTTCTGTTCGGTCTTTGCTGTTAGTGCTGTGTAAGCATAGGCTACCCTATGTATCCCCCTATATAACCCCTATACATCCCCTACAAATACCTTAAAGGTATGGCACAAGCAGGTGGAAATGGTCGAAAATGCTACATCTTGGACCCAAGAATCTGAGCTTGCCAGAAGCCACGGTTTAAAGATTGAAGGATTTTTGCCACTGGATTAGGGGACGGGGGTGCCCTTAAAGGGGATTATAAGAGATATGTAGGGTCTAGGGTTTAGCCTCATTTTCAAGGCTACAATGTCGAGGACATGTATGCCGGCCTTTCAGCTTGGGCGAATGTCAGCGTGCGAGTAGCCCTGGGCCTATGTAAGTCAATGCATATGTGTGAGAACGTCAGTGCAGGTCTCCCAGGTCCATGACAGGCACAACAGAAGAGTGAGCATATACTACCATTCGAGGATTCGACGGAAAGCCAAACAACGTGGAAGCGGGAGCCCCTGGAGTTTTGGGGGCAGATGTTCAACCTCCAACCTATCACTACGGTCGCTTCCGCACAGACATGCCGAAGCAACAGAAACGCAAGACGCTATCCGCCCGTGTCGCGGCAGAGGCAGCGAGACGCACAACAGCCGCTGCTGCTGCTGCTACAAGGGTAGGTCCCGACTTTAAGCAGGATTGCTGACCAGCCTTTTCACAATATGGCAAAAATCAGGAAGAGCCATGCAGCTTCTTACGGTGCCATCTTGGTACTGCCTGCGCCAAGGGCGTTCCTTCTACTTTTCTGGCAGCAGGAGTGGCCTCACCGTCACTACGGGAACGGTCGCAGCCGGAGAAACTCATCATGTGAGAGCCAGCCTAAGGCTTTGGAGGGCCAACTCTCAAAGAAGCTAATGCTGAACACCCTGACCACGATAGGCAATAACATCAACACAATGCAGGATTTCTGCATCTTCACTGTGGTTGCTGACTTTTTGAGACCACTCCAGGGCCGGCGAAGCTATTTACCTCGTCGGCCAAAATGGCGGTTCATGCAGCAAGCTGCTCCCAAGAGTGAGTGCGGGAAAGCCGCGGAGCTAGCAAATCTCCAAACCCTGAGGGCTGCCTTCAAGACCTGCCACCTTTACTTTGCCTCTGCTAGAAGTCCCAGGGCCCCTGTGGTGCTAGTGGTAGATAGGCCTAGTGCTGCCCAGGGAGTAACACACTTGTTAAGCAAAGACTGATATCTCTGAAAGTAGCAGTGCCAGGCCACCCCATGTCTAAGCAAGATGTGGATGAATTGTCACTGCAAAGAGCACCCTCCTTTGTCATGTGAAGTTGCCGTTCCGCTTAAATCGAGTGGAAGTTTATGTTAAGATCATGGATTTATGGATCTACTGTGAGTCCTGCCCTGCCCCGCGAGGGGCCTGCCAAACTTCTGTAGCCCAACACTGTTGCCCTTATACTCCTTGCTTCCGTGGATAAAAAAAGAATACCATCATTGCTGTGAGGGTACATCTGAGCTTGCCAGTGGTGAGGAACAACTGCTGCCAATGTCGAAGCTCGTGGATGTGTAACTTCTGCGTAGCTATTTCTTCGGATTCAACTTGATTCAACTTTAAACTAAACCCTGAACCCTAAACCCTATATAACCCCATTATAGTGGTTTCCATGTTCTTTTCCATTATGCCTATAGGCCTATATAACCCAAACATAACCCATAAACAGCTCCGTGAAACTTGATTCATCACTGCCACGAATTGGGCATTGTCTCACTCGTGTCCAATCTCTTCCTCAATCTCCTGCGCGATATTGCTAGGCAAATGGCCTGTGACTGGGCAAACATGTTGTGTTGTCAAGCTGTGCATGACGCTTTTAAAGCAAGGGCTCTGAATTCTGGACCCACATCAATGCTAAACTGGAATGGCATTCCAATGCTCCAGGCGGAGGTGGTGGCAGCAGGAGGAGGGAGGCCGCAGATCAAGCAGCAGGATTTGCGAAGGTTGCTTCGAAGTAGGGATTGGGAGCAAAGAATGGATCCTCATCTCAGCTTAATTTTGAAGCCGCAAGCAGCCAAAAACCCTAAACTAATTCTAGGTGCTAACAAGGATGCCCTGCCCATAAACGCAAAGCTAAGGGTCTGGAGCACTGGTGAAACATGCAGAATGCAAGCCCCTCCTCGATGCGCCGCCTGCGGCCGCGCAGGGGGCAAGGAAAACATTTTGCCTAGTCCTAGCCAGAAAACTACATACTGCTTGCTGCTCCTCGTGCTGCTGCTGCTGCTATTGCTAATTGCCAACTGCAGCTGCTAACTGTTACGCTGTTGTTTGCTCCTTCTACTGCTACTGCTACGGATACTATTACCAGCATCACCAGCACCCACAACGACAACCATGCTGCCACTGCCGCTGCTACTGGAGCTGGTCCTGCTACCACTGCGACCGCCACCACTATGACGACTACTGCTCCTGCCATCAACGACACCCCTAGTTCTCTAGTGCTGCTTGTGCTACTACTCCTACCTCTGCATCTACCTCCTTTTCCTTCTACCACTACTACCCTCCGAACAGGCAATAGTCCATAGTGCAGCGGCAACAGGGCAACAGCCAAAGTAATGGCACATAGGCGATCATAGGTGCAATCGAGCGGCTGCAGAGCAATGATCTGCTGATGGACAGATGTCTTTTCGCCTTTGAGCTGGGTGACCTGCACAGGACAGTTGCTAAAACACTGGGTGAATTCAAGAAGCTTTCTTCGTGCCTGCTGCTGAAGGCGGACGTTCTCAGCCTCCTGCAGCTTCTGCTGCACCTTGAACCTTGGCATGGCACGCTTGCAATTCAAATTGGCCCCTTGGCTTCTGGCACGCCGTCCAAGCCAGGCACTCTTCCACCATCCTTTGCACGTCTGCTGCAAAGTACCGCTTGATGTCCTCAGCTACACGGGTGTGAATACAAGGCTTCCCATCTTGCGCGAGGGACACTCACCTTCATACTGGCATCAGTTCTCATAGCAAAGCTTCGAAGATGTTAAGCTAGATATGGGCCATAATATACACTCCTAGTATCCCCCTTGATGACCCCTATAGTCCCCTATATCATCCGTTACATAACCCCCTTCAAGGAGTTTAGACTGAAGCTCATATCACCTGTACAGTCTTCGTTCCAAGAGTCATTGAGCTGCCCTTGCATGCCTGAGGATGAATTGGCGTTCTCAGCCTTGATGTTGTGTACATGGCCTGCCCCAACGGCATAGGGTATAGTGGAGAATCAAAAGGAGAAGATAATGGAAGATGAAATGGAAGCCCTAGGTGCCTTTAAGGGGTCTATAAGGACATTAGGATATTACCCCAAGAGTGGAGAATCAAATGGAAAAGAAAATGGAAACTGGGGGTGTGTACGGGTTTAGAGGGATTAGGAGTTACCAAAATTAGCGGCATACCTTTTAGGGGATCCCTATAATAAGGGTTTTAGTATTTTGGTGTCCATATTGGGTCTTATTTAGGACAACTACCGAATATGGAAACCATCAGGCGTCAGCAAAAGGAATCTGTTGAAGCAATTCTGTATCAAGCCGCTCCTTGCCCAGCTATACTTCAGGCTGCGCGAGGAGAGAAAGCTTTACACGAGCTATAGTCTCAAGTCCTAGTATCCTCATTAATAACCCCTATAAAAGTCCCCTACATAATCCCCTATGTTACCCCCTCCAGGATTTTAGACTATAGCTCACATGAAGCTCTAGGTCACAGCGTCAACGTAAGTAGGATGACACGTCGGGCATCTGGTCGCAGGACTTCAGCCGCACGGCGGACTAAACATTATCGGTTTAGTGTTTAGGGTTTCCGTATTAGAACCAACTTGAGTGCTGCCAGCTGATTAAGACTGTTTATGGGGGCTGCCGCTTAGGCGCCATTGCGGCATGAGAGAGCTACAGGAGGGGACCAAAGCACCATCCAATGGAAGCCCATCTTGCTGACAGTAACACGAGCAATAGTACAACCGGCAGTGTTACCTTAAGTACAAAACTTATACTGAGAATGGCTACATGGCTAGCAATAGGAGTGAGGACTTAGCATCAGCCAAAAATTCTTACACGAGCCCTTAGAACCCTAGAAATGCCGTGCGCCTTTTTCAATGCCCAGCTCCTCGTTCTGAGACTGAAGAGTCGTGGCCAGGTCATGCACCTGCACCACCAGCGGGCTGCGATTCAGGTTTCAGGCCTTTAGAGCTGAAGCTTTGTAGCTACATGGCCCCAGCCTAGCTTAACATAGAATTTTGGGGCATGAGGGTGCGAGAGCTGCGCTGAGACTCGCAATCCTGATCGCCGCCACAGCTTCAGCATCGTTATTATGATTTAGTATTACTACTATTAGGGGACGAGCCTGTTCGTTTACGCCTCATTTCGGTTTGCCGACTCTTTTTCTTCGTGGCTTGGAGGCGAGGGTTTTAGGAAAGTACCGGAAGAAGCAAACTTCAGCATCATGGATGTCGAGCTAAAGACTTCGAAGGGCCTTTTTCTCTGGTACCTACAGCACTCCTGACCCTGGCAAGACTCATTCGAAGTAACCAGGACGCAGAGAAGCCTGGATATG